CCAAGGAATTTAATCAACTTCGTAATTAACTACAAGGAAATAATTATTTTTAATTGAATCACGTCCTTCCTGGAACTTTGGATTACGATTGACAAATTTCTAAGTGCAAGGGGGAACAAAATTAATACTTCGACAGAGTCAACCTATTCTAAATAAAAACTTTATTCCAGAAATTTTATGTGATAAAAGATTACAGAATACAGGGTTCTAAAAAATATCGGCCAGAAAGGTTACGACAGTCATACGGAGTTTAGCTGACTATCATGGGAATAACTGCAGACATATATTTGTAGGAAGTTGTTCAGTAATGTTTAAAGCAGCAGTGGTACTGTAGTAAAAGTGTTTTACAAGTATAGAACCGGAACGAGAGTGTAATTGTTTGTAATGTCTGTAAAGTTAGCATATCCATTTTACAAGACTGAATTCAGACCAACCAAAATTATTGCGTTCAAAAATATTAATACTTTCGTTAAAAGCAATTATAATAAAATGAGAATTAAATCTATTGTCTTCTTTCTTCTTTACGTGTCATCTCGGCGAAGAGGGTTGGCAATCATCACTGTTATTCTAACTTTTGACACTACAGCCCGAAAGAGTTCAGTTGAGCTGCATCCAAACCATTCTCTGAGATTTCTCAGCCAGGACATTCTTCTTCCAGCTATGCTGCGCTTTCCTTGAATCATTACCTGCATTATTAGTTTTAGGAATTCATATCTGTTACCACGTGTTATATGAACCAGATAATGTAGTTTTCTTATTTTGATGGAATCCAGTATCTCCTTGCTGTTCTCTATTCTTCTTAGTACTTTTTCATTGGTTATTCTGTCTATTCAGGAGATTCTCAGCATTCTTTGATATGTCCACATTTTAAATGCTTTCAATTTACTAAGACATTCTTTAATTAAAATCCATAACTCCACACCATACAAAAGAACAGAAAATACATAACACTTTAGTACTAGTTTTCTAAGATTTAGGTGAGGTTTCTACAACATAATATTTGTTTCATATTATTGAATACACTTCTAGCCTTTTCTATTCTAATTCTAATTTCTTTGGTATAATCGTTTGTTTCATTAATGTTTGCCTCTAAATAATTATAATTCTGAACTCGTTCTATCGTCTTATTATTTACGTGTGTAGCGTTTTATATTTAATGTCTATATAATAATATAAATTCTGTTTTAAATTTTAAAGTACGTCCCTGGTTGTTTATCTCGTCAGTACGCATAAAAATTACCAAGAAATCTGTGTTTGACTTTTACAAAGAAATTTTAAAACGATTGATTATATAACAAGTTTTTTTATATTTCGGCGGAGAAATTAAATGTATGATGTATATGTATGACGAGATAAGGCAAAAATATAGATGTTTTTGTAGTTGAGAACGATTTGTTTACATGAGTACCCTAATATTCCGGTTGAAAAAGAGGTTCTTAGAAAGAATGTCAAGTTTAGGTATTTAATATTTCTAAACGCAATACAGATGGGAATGTTTCAAGGTTGTTACGAACAGACAGTTGACGGGGGTATCTGTTTGTTTAAGTTTGTAAGCACAACTAGCTGGCGAGGGTAAATTTTTTGGCTTTGAATTTGTAAAATGTAACGAGTAGTCAGTCAAGCTAGAGTATTTAGACGAGAAGGATGTTTGGGCGATTTTGCATTAACAGTCGATTCATTTTTTTTGTATGTCTTAAGACCGGTTAAGATGATAATACTCTTTGCAATAATGGCATCTTAAACAGAGTAATCATCTAAATATTTATGCAGTGTACCGGAAACTAATGGAATTTTTGAAGATTAGTATATAGGATGTCCCTACCAGCCTTTTTTTGTTTGCCTGCTTGATTCGACCCCATTCACGTCAGATCTTCATTCCTGAGTATAGAAATGGTTTCCTATGTTCCAGTTTGAGAATTTGACCTTGCAGCTCCAATCCCAGAGATGTAGCAAGTTTTTTTTAAGTTAAGTGGTGAAATATGTGAATTAAGGTAACAATTCAATATATTATATTTTTAAAGTAATATAGACATTTTTTAATAATTGCCTTTATTAAGAATTAAAGAATTTGTAATAATTAAAGTTTTATTATGTTAGAGTCGTAGCTAAAAAAATGTCATAATTTATTCTGTCTTACAATGTTATGTTGACATATGACATTTTGCTCTAATCCATTGTTGTTGTAAAACAATTTTCATTTGATTCATAACAAGGATATCCTTAATTTTTGATAATTTAATTTGGCCATATTATAACCTAGGAACCATTTCAAAAAAATTTGTAGCAATCTCCTTTTGTAAACAGATAAACATGTAAGTTTTGTTAATTTTGTATTATTATATAGTATGCTTCTTGTACAATTTGTATTTTTGATAACTGTTTGTTTGAGACAAAAATAAACATTTGGTTTGTTTCTCTGATCCATTTTTTTATTTTGATTTAGAAAATCTCCTAACCCTAGTATGTATTTTTGATTTTAGGGAAGAAGACATTTTCTTCTTCCAACAGGAAGTTTTTCTTCGAAGCGGCGTCCCAATAAAGAAAATAGCTAGAGGTAAATCTTATCTGCCATATCTTGTTCGTTATTGACACAGGAGATTTTTGTTAGTATCCCTTTATTTTCGTTTTGTAGATACCCCAATCCGACCCACTTATTTCAACTTATCCACGACCCAGCTCTCCAACAACCCCCTGAGTGTCGTACGCATCAGTTACGATTATTTTGTTTTTCCCAATCTTCTATACCCATAATCTTACCCTGAGGTAGGCATTTCGTTACACGTGTAGATTGATGTACCTATCTAATATTTATTTTTGATATAACCATGAATTTTGTTTTCTTTGTGTTTAGTGACAGACCAAATTCTTCACTCGCTGCAACAATCTTATCTAAAATTCTTTGTACATCTGTAATATTTTCTGCTATTAGTATTGTATCATCAGCATACCTAATTTCATCTTATAATGCTTTTTTGAATATTTCCTCTGAGTATGCATTAAACAGTGATGCAAGACACAGCCCTGTCTAACACCTCTTTTGATTTTTATTTTATTAGTTTTTAAATTATTTATTCTCATGACAGCTTCTTGTTCATAATACCGATTACTTATTATTCGTATATCCCGTGTGTCGATGTTCTTTGTTCGTAGTAGTTTTATTAAAGGATTATGTTTCACTGTATCGAATACCTTGTTATAATCTAGGAATCAGACATGATGTCCTGGTTTACATCTAAACATCTCTGTATTAGCACATTTCCTGCATATAATGCTTCTCTGATTCCTTGAGCATTTCTAAATCCGAACTGAGTTTGTCCAATCTCTTGTTCTAACGTTCTATATATTCTACAATGAATGTTCTTTAGAAATACTTTTAGTATATGGCACATTAGACTGATGATATGGTGATCGAAACATTGTCTGTCGTTTTTCTTTTTCGGTATAGCCACGAATGTTGATAGAAGCCATTCTTTAGGTAATAAACCTGTTCTGTATTTGATATTAAATAATTCGACAATAACATGTATATTGCAATCGGCGATAAGTTGCAATATTTCTGTCGGTATTTCATCTGCTTCTACTGCTTTACCAGTTTACATTTCTTTAATTGTGTGTTTTACTTCACTTTCTGTTATTTCTGGTCCAGTCTCTTTAAAGAAATATTCGTTATCTATTTTGTCTCGTTTGTCGTTAAACAGCTGTTCTATATAGTTTGCCCTACCATAATTTGTCTCCTGTATCCATTACCGTGTCTCCCTTTTCATCAACTAGCATATTTTGTTTGTATTCTGGTCTTCTAATTAATTCTTTTATTTTTCTGTCTAATGTATTGTATTAACTTATAAATATTATTTATTGATATAAATAGTATTTATTTATCAATACAATTTAAATATTTCTTTCGGAATAATAGTATAATTCAATAACTTTTTATGAAAAAATGTAATAAATTTATTTTTCCTGGTTTTTCCGATTTTTTCTTAGCACAGAGAAGATGAAAATAGCACAGTTCTCATTTTTTGTCGAACAACCCCAGTTTTTTTAAATAACTGTTCTAAGTGCCATATTACAAATTTTGTAGCTCGCTTGAATTTGAAATTCCATTCTCAAAAAAAAAAAAAAACACGGAGCTCGGACAGTTTTCCACTCCATTTTTCGGTGGCGGTATTTTACGAGTACCATCACTTTAACGGAATATAAGTTTTTATTCCTTTACTATATATGTTATCTTTAAACAGGACCATAAAATCTAGATCATTATTTAGAATACGTTTAATTTTCATCTCTTAATGTCAATAAACAATGGAAAGATGATTTTCCTATTGGTCATAGAAGGTCCTTGTTCGTTGAGCTTACTGAAAAGCATGGTATAAAAAAAAATCAAAATTATCATAAATTTTTATAAGCTAAAAAGTCAGCTATTTGGTCGATCGAGTTGAAATTTTTAATTTATTATCTGTTACAATTTAAGTAGTTAATAACATGGCATTATGCAAAAATAAAGTTTTTTGCAATTATCCCGGTCAATTGTTTATGTATTTTAATTTGGAAACTACCAAAAAAAAAAGAACTTTTGATGATCTTGTATTTGAAGCATTTTCAGCTTTTTTTTTCATACTGAGATATAGACCTGTTATTACTATTGAAATTCATGGAAGTATCAGGACATCATAGGTTTAAAGGTAACAATTTTGGTTTTTAACTGCTAATTATGTAAATATCAAACATCGAATAAAAACTTCTCGTATTTTAATATTACACTATGTAAATTATAAAAACCATGTACATGTAGATTTGGCAAAAAAAAACAACATAATATAAAATGGCCTTTTCCTATAAATTTTTATTGGCTCGCAATACCATAGTTATATACAATATTTATATTGGATTAAAATATTTGTCCGTAAAATACTACCGCTTTTTCATAGATACCAATTTAGTAAAGATCGTGCTTAGAGATAGAATTAAAATTAAATTCAAATGCAGCTCAAAATACTTACGTTTTGATTGGATAAAATTTAATTGTTTAATGGCAGTAAGAACGGGGGCATCGTCAAGTGTTAGCTCAAATTGAGGAGATACCTGAGGAACAGACCATTCTTTTAGCCACGAATGATCAGTGTCTACCACTCTATTGATCAACATCGATCCAATCTAAAAATAAAAATAGAAACTTACTAAGTCATCTAATAAAAAATATATATACTATTATTATAAGAGTTCAAAACCTAGTTTAAGATCCTTTTTAGATCTATGTTCACACTATTTATTTGTTAATCAGACGAAATCAAGATTGAATTAAGTACAAAGCGTAGGGATGCTGTTGTGGACTTCATTTGTGACATATTCTTCTACCGCTACATCGATGACTTTATCTGTACTATCCCAATATTTTCTGGATATCACCTTACATCGCATTAATAACACAGTTAAAATTATGTGGTGTACGTACAAAAGAAACATGGTCTTCACGATATCTCAACTATAAATCTCATCCATTCTTCTATAAGAAGTCTGTAATTATAAGTATAGCTGATAGATCTATAAAACTAACAAACCCAGAATACAGACCAACTGCAATAAAAAAAGGGAAAAAGCCCTCTTAAATAATGCTTACCACGAACATATAATCGAAACTATTTTTAAATTATTTTAAAGATTAAACAAATTTTACAACAATACAAATAACAATAAATCCAACAGTAACAACCTTATTTCGCCAAATTAAAAACACAAACTCCAAGACTCGAAAAATCACATGTTGTTAGCGAAATATAATACCTTGTGTTAACTGTAAAGGTGTCTATATTGGTCAAACCAGTCCACTGCTTCAATCCAGAATTCGTTCTCACAAATATTACAAGAACAACGGCACTGTGCTTACAAAACATGAAAATGAGAAGCATAAATTTGACTTTGAAAAGATCAAAATTTTAAAAACCGAGTAAACAAAAAGAAGAGGGAGATATACGAATCAATAGAAATAAAAAGAAATACCAATGCAATAAATGACAAAAAAGATACATAGAACCTAAATAAAATATATTTCAATTTGATTGAAGTTATAATAAATATAACACCATAAAAAAGTATTATCTCTTAAAGTATTATCTCCACTTTAAATTTTTCGAAAACACCAACGATACGTCCATATCAAAAGTATTGTATATTAATGACAGTAAACCATGAGATATCAGATATCAATTTTTACTTCTGTCAATTAATTAATGTCATTGTCCCGTTTTACGTTTTGGTAAGTTTTTTTTATTTTACAATAAAATTTTTTTGTTCCTTATCTTGTACATTTTAGAATTTTGACAAAGGCAAGGGTTTCCTGCCGAATAGTTGATTTCAATGGCGCAATAAAATCTAGTTGCAAATATATTATTACTTATTCAACCTAAACCCAAGAAATACTAATTTTATATTATATATAATATGGTTCAAGAAATATATAATATATATTGAGTCCGCTAGATGCAAAACTCTGTATTTGCAAAAATTGTAAAAATTGAGTTGAAGCTGACAGTTATTTGTCACATGTTATAGCTATCCGCTGATGTAGAAATTCAGCAGCAAAGTAAGGTATTTACTAAGAAAAAGGCATTAGAAATTTTGAGTCAGACACAAAACTCTGTATTTGTCAGCCTATGCCAGTTGCATAACTGTGTAATTGCAATTGGCCAATCGCTTACATTGTTTGAGTCACATGACACGTCTCATGTGCACATGTCAATTATTCCATCATTCGCCATAACCGGTTTCACTGTTTGTTATTTGAGTACTAAAAACACCAAGTTTATTGCAAATAATTAACATTATGGATCTTCATGTGCATATTAGACCTTGTGAAACAGGAAAAGGGAGAAAACGAGTTGTACAAACCGAAAAATGGAAACGAAATGTAACAAAACTTAAGAGGTAAGAGGTGTCTACAATTAACTAGATAGGTTTGGGACTTATTGTCAATATTTTTAGGCATAAACCTAAGGATTTACCCGGTTTTCCTACCTGTAACCATACAAAGAAAGTGTATTGTTGTATAGATTTTAAAGATGCGAGACATTCAGCGTTTCCATAATAATCTGTATTCAACAACTGACAAAATAAAACAAGATATTTTTTTGCTAAAATTTTGTGAAGGTCAAAAGCCCAAGAGATCAGGTACAAATCTACATGGAATTTCAATTAAATATTTTGTTCCTACAGTAGAGGGTGGACTTTTAAGAGTATGCAAGACAGCATTTCTTGCCATAACTCATTTAAGTTCTGAAAGAATAGAGCGTGTTGTAAGAACGTTTGTTATGCGGGGTGAAATACCAAAAGAGAGAAGAGGGGGAGATACAACAAAAGGTAGATTTGATCCAATAAAATTATCTATCCAAACATTTATGGGGCGTTTGAACGGTGCAGAGAGTCATTATAATAGAGGACGATCGACTAGATTGTATTTACCATGTGATCTGAATTGTACAAAGCTTTACAGAATGTATCGTCAACGTCATCCACATCATTCCGTAAAGTTATCATATTTCCGAACATACGTTAATGAACACTACAACACATCATTCGGCACTCCCTTAGTAGATGCTTGTTCTGCGTGTCTCAGAGCGAAGGAAATTTTAAGAAAAGAAAATTCAGAAGAAGAAATGTTAAAGGTTATAACAGAGCAGAGAGTTCATACGTTAAGAGCTAAAGCCTTTTATTCTTTGTTAAAAAATGAATCAAATCATAACATACAAATATTTTCTTTTGATTGTCAAAAAAATCTTTCTTTGCCAAAGCTTCCCGACCACGCGGCTTATTTCTCACAGCAAATAAATTTTTATAATGTCACCATCGTGGCTGGAAATTCGAAATCCCATCTTTCTTCTGCAAATGTGACGTCATATGTGTGGCTGGAGTTTGAACATCCTTCTTTCTTCAAGTGCCGTCTCCATCAATGGAGGTTAGCGATTATGGTGGCAAACGTTTGTCTATCTTCAGCTGTTCTTAAGAGTTCCTCAAATCCAAGTTGAACATCCAAAAGATTCAAATGCTGTTGCCTCTGCTGTACATGATACTCTCATAAAATTCAACTTTAAAAATCAAATCGAAAAAGTTCACCTATTTGCAGATGGATGTGGTGGACAGAACAAAAATAGCACAATGCTGTCTATGATAATCTACTGGTTGGTTTATGAAGCACCTGGTCACATCAAGGAAGCGGAGTTTACGTTTCCTGTTGTTGGTCATTCCTTTTTGCCACCAGATAGGATTTTCGGTATGATAGAAAGGGAGATAAAAAAGAAGAACGTTGTAATAAACAGAAAAGAATATAAAGACATAATTGGAAAACACTCAAAGGTGCTGAGACTTGGTAAAGACTGGCAGATATCAGACTGGAGAAAGACGAGTGACGTTGTTGTTAAAAAACCTTCCCAGTGGCATTTTAAATGTAATGCAACGAAACGATTTATATTTTCTAAGGACAAATATTATATGGCTACGGTAAGGGGGGAAATATTTTATCGTTCTGACATAGGGTTCAGCAAGTCTATAATACGAAAAGGGAAAAAGATTTCTTTATTGAAACCAAAGTTACAACAGATTGGATGTTCATTGAAAGGAGATAAATCGTCCATAGGCACTCTCCTTAGAAACCATTTTGGTGAAAATTGGAGAGACCAGCCGGATCTCAAATTTTATAAAATTATAGATACTGGCGTACCAGCAAATAATAACGAGAGTGCTGCAGAAAATGATCATCATTTATTATGTCTAAGGTTTTTTGCAAAATTTATCAGTTTTTTGCAAATAACTCAGTTTGACTTATACAGTAAATACAAAGTTTTGCATCTAGCGGACTCATATATATATATATATATATATATATATATATATATATATATATATATATATATATATATATAGCAAAAAATACGACCGTTGATTAAATTTAAAATATATTCAATGGTTGAATAGCAGAGGTTTTATCGGTCAATAATTGTCAAATAAAAGTCGTCAACTACTTTATCGATTTATTTGAATACGTTTCGCTTTTATTTTTAAAAACATCATCAGTTCAAAAAGCAATTTGTAGATTTTTTTAAGGATGTTATAAAAACTCTAAGATAACATTAAAGATTACAAACTAAACAAGAGAAACGAAACAAAAAAAAATACAAGAAAAACAGTAACAATACTATTGTTTATTTAATTTTAACTGATGGCTTCATTTAAATGCTGGTTTAAGCTCTTTCGAGGATGAAACCACACTAATTAAATGAACAACAGTATTCTTACTGTTTTTCTTGTATTTTTTTTTGTTTCGTTTCTGTTGTTTAGTTTGTAATCTTTAATGTTAAGTTATCGTAGAGTTTTTATAACATCCTTAAAAAAATCTACAAATTGTTTTTTGAACTGATGATGTTTTTAAAAATAAAAGCGAAACGTATTCAAATATTTCAATAAAGTAGTTGCCAATTATTGACCGATAAAACCTCTGCTATTCAACCATTGAATATATATATATATATATATATATATATATATATATATATATATATATATATATATATTGAGATAATATTAAATATAGGAGAAACGAAAGTAATATAGAATGAACTTAAATAGTGATTAAAGAAATAATTTATAAGTTATATACTAGAGAATATTATAAAAAGTATTTATATGAGGGTATTTTTAAGAAATTAGCATAATAATAAGTTTAAAAAGTTTTTATTTTGTAATGTATTTGGGTATTTTAATAATTATGATATTATAGATATTATTATTATTATTATTTGAGTGCGCCCTCTTTATAGGCAACCAAATATACACTGACGTAAATTTGGTTATGAAGAATAAAAGACAGTTGAAAAAATTAATTATGGATTTAAAATAGTGTTATTTATTAATTTAAGATGTTTAATTTGTATATAAGTTTACATTTTGATCTGAGAAGCCTAAATTTCTATAAAATTATCGATAAAATTATCTTGATCTTTAAAATAAGACGTCAATAGAAAGAACTTAACCTTTTTTCGTAGTAGAATGTTCGCTAACATTGGAGTGTCTATGAAGTAGAAGGATTCGAATATATTTTCTTTCAAGATTATTCGGGAACATTGAAATGATATAAATACTCTGGGATTTGGAGGAGAAACGACAGT